TTTGTATATCTTTCCGGCTTCAACCACTGATGGCAAAGGTGATGTAGTCGGCTGCAAAGTCCTCGGGGACCCTCAGCCTCCCAGTATTGGATGAAATTCCAAGACTGAACTTCTGAAGGGAGGATGGTTTCCTCCTCCAGGATCTCCTCCCTAGGTCTTGTCCAGATTTCCCCACCCTTCCCAGGCTGAACAGCTGAAGGGCCTTTCCCAGTTTCCTCCTTTACAAACTGTTGTGTCTCCATCCTTTCTCTTTCCAGCAGAGCAACTCCAAATGGGTCCAAGCACTCTTGTGGACCTCCAGATGCCTTTTCCTTCACAGGACCATTTCTGGGGCCACAGGACCGATCCCTGCAAGTTATTCTGCCCTTTTTGTTTCCCAAGAGAAAATTTTGGCTTGCAAAGATTTCAAATGGCTTCGAGTTTCTGTACCTGGGATGGAAAGAAAAACCAACGCCAAGAATCAGAAAGTGGAATTCAGTCACTGAGCAACCTTCACCCAACCTGCCCGGAGCCCCAAGCGGCTCATCCCAACGCAGTGTCCAGGTCCCCTCCGAGCAGGGCCGGGAAGGAGGCAGCTGGAGAGGCCGCCCCGCTTCTCTCCCCCTCCAGAGACGGGATCCCGGTGCGAATCCTGCCTCCTCCTCGCCCGGCTTCTCTCCTCTCCTGCTGGGCCTCCGCAAGGCCGATCCTCCCCTCTTCCCCCACCCTGGCGTTTCCCGGATCCCCGCCGTCTTCCTGGCATCCCCGCTTCTTCCGCTTCCCCCTGCATGGGGAGGACGGCTGGGAAGCATGGAACCCGAGAAGACCCACCCCTTTACCTGGAACATGTGTGGATCTCTCACCGCGAGACTCTCCCGCAGCCTCTCCGCCTCCTGCAGAGCCTCAGGGGTTAAGGAGAGTGAGTGCGGCGTCCTAGAGCAGCAAGCATATGCACCAAGACAGATTCCTTGTGTGTGTGACCACACTCGGCCAATGAAGAATTCATTTATTCATTCATTCATTCAAAAAAAAAAAAAGCGTTTGTGATGTCATTCCCTTCGCACCCTCCTCTAAAAGGCAGCCGTGACGTTCGCCCTCCAGTGGGCCAATGGGGAAGCGCCTGGAGTTTCCTTCTCCTGGCAGAGCGCGCCCCCTGCTGGATTTGGTGCAAAGTGCCGGGATTTGGCGGGAAAGAGGAGCGCGAATGAGGGGAAGGGAGAGGGCAGGGATGATGGGCTTGGGAGTAGGAGAAAAGGCCTCTCTCAATGGCTCCCAGCTCTACACGGCGACCCTGAATAAAAAGAAAAAAGAAAACCAGTTCCAAAATGGAGGAAAAGCTGAAACCTCTGGATATTCCAGAAATTTTACCTCATAATGAGGCTCTTTAATTGAGAATCAAAGATTGGAAAATGGCGTTTCAGCTCTGACTGGAGAAAAGGTGGAATTACAAAATGAAGAAAGGAAGGTCGTGAAAAAGGAGTATAAATTCTAAACTATGATGAGGAAAAACCATTCTTGCAGAGGTTGAGTAGGAAATTCACCTCAACAAATGTGACTGGGAAGCTTAAGGCCTTCAGAGAATTTAAGGCAGGGATATATCATTAGACCATAAATGAAAAGAAAATGAAAATATTCAACCACATTTGGAGTCTACAATGACACAAAGCGGTTAGCTACAGTGAGCAAAACAAAGAATTTAAAACGATGGAAAAAGTGGCTAAAAATCCATGTAAAAAGAACGGAGGTAACCTTTGATTTTTCTTTAAGTATTTATTTCTTTTTTTCTCCAGTTTGACACAGAAAGTTTAATAATCCATATTTGAAAAACAGGAGCTGAAATATGTCTCCCCTCCAAGGCCATCCAAACACTTTAGTCTGTTAGTAATTTTTAATGCAAGGAAGAAAATTTTATGCATGTTTAGCAAGTAATACCACCACTAAGTAATTTTAAGTTTCCGTTATAGTGTTTCCTAGATTCTGGCACGCCATAAGGACAATACGGCCCTAATGCTTAAAAAATATCTTTTGCTCATGTGTTTGTTTCAGCTTCTGTTCATTCTGGCCCCTTGTTTGAAAGACAAATTGTTCACCCTGAAACTTTTTGCACATACTCTGACTTGTCACTATAACGCTGTTCTTATGGTTTTGTTTCTCAGTTATAACTTGCATTACATAATGTGAAGCAGGGTGAAAAGGCAGATTTCGACAATAGTAAGCAAAGTAAGGAAAGCTGAAACAATAGTAAGGGATTCAAAACTAATGCATTTCTGCCTGCAACTCTGCTCTAGTGGATATATTCATCAGAGGGAGTTTCTTGAAATGATTAGGGAATCTCCACCACTTAAATATTGGCAGCCACACATCACTTGCAGGCCAAATTATAACCTTAATCTCCACTGATACTCATGTTTCCTTTAAAACCTCATACTTAGTCCAGTGTTTTTTTAAAAATGTCCAGCAATAAAGCACCCAGAATATCTGAAGGCAAGCTGTTCCACTGGGTTAATTGTCCTCATTGTAAGGAAATTCCAGGTTGCTTCTCTCCTTGATTAGTTTCCATCCATTGTTTCTTATCTTGCTCACTGGGGCTTTGGAACAAAAATTGACCCCGTCCTCTTTGTGGCAGCCTCTCAAATACTGGAATATTGCTATCTTGTCACTCCTAATCCTTTTCTCTAGACTAGCCAAACTCAAATCCTGCAATCGTTCTTTTAATTTTCAGGTCTTTAATTCACTTAGCTACACTTCTTTGCACTTTTTCCAAAGTCTCATCTTTTTTGTAATGTAATGACCCAAACTGGATGCAATATTCCAAGTGTGGTCTTACAAAGACTTTATAAAATGGTACAAATACTTCATGTGATTTTGATTCTATGCCTCTGTTTATGTTTAAATGATCACCCATTCGGACTCCAAGGACCGTTTCAGTTACTGTTTTTGAGCCAGTTTTCATGTAATATGTTTTTATCACCCAGGTGTAAAACATTGCTTTTCTCCACATTTTGTTGGATTCAACCTTGTCTTTTTTTTTTTTTTGTAAATTTTATTTGAGTTTTCACAAAAAAAATACAAACAAAACATCTTTTTTGAAAGTAGCGTAATTCCGGGGTACATTTCTTCGTATAGACACAAATTCAATTTCATGCTCATTTTAACGTTCTATTCCATATCTTATTACTGTTTTACATTTTCTACATAGCTTCTCCCCTCTTTTAATTTTCTCAATTTTATTTTAATTATCTCATCTCAATTCAAATCATTATATTGATATTTTTTTGTCTGTCCTGTTTCAATTATCTATTATCTTTTCTCATTAAACAAAGTTTCTCCTGTAGTTGCTGATTGGAGTATGACACCTTTATATCTTTTAAGTTTATCCATTTCACTCTTATTTAGGCTTCAATATATATCTTAAAGTTATAAGATTCAATATAATACATAACTTCCATTCGGATTCTGCTTGGTACATTCTTAAAATACACACTATATTCTTTAAAAAAGAAAAAATTATAAATATATGTAATTAAAACAACACATTCCATTCCAATTCAATTCTATGACTAATGTTAATATTCATTAAAATCTTAACTTCTTTAACATTACTTTTCAATTAAATATCATACTTCTCTGTGAACAGTTATAAGCTTTCCATAATTAATTCCCCCCCTCTTCACTTATATTTTATAAAACATTAACTAATTAAAATGTTCCTGTCCCTTCCTAATTCAATTTTCTCATTTATTTCACTTATTTTATTAACAAACATTTCACTAAATTACACTATTTTATCCCTCATTTTAATCATACATTGTTTCCAATTTTCTAAAGTTATTTCTGTTACTAATATAACAATACAATCTTATGTACCTTTACAGAATCCCTTTTTCAGTTAAATTTTCACCCATTATCTCTAAATAGGCCGTTTCTCCATATCTTGTTTCGGTCCTTTGTAACTTCTTTTCCTTTCCTTCTTCCCTCTCTTCTTCTCTCTCCCCTTTTTACCTCCTTGTGTCTCTACCTCTATTTCTCTCTTCTGTATTCCCCTCTTCTGTTGCTTTCCAGTATTATACTTATTTTTCGAATTATTTTTCTTTTCTTTGGTTGTTTTTTTAAGTCTTAAATTCTCCATTCTCTTTCCCCCCTTTCCTTTTTCTTCCCCACATAGAATTACTTGTTCATTAAAGATGGCTTCTTCTTTGTCCCAGTCTTCTTGTTTTGCAGATGTTTCTTGTTGTTTCTCATAGTTCCAAATCTCCATTTCTAAGAATTGAAAAACAAAGCCAAAAGAACCCCTCCCTTCTTGTGCATCTTCTTTGTACTTTTTAAGTTCCATTTTCAATTCATCCAGAAGTAGTGCCATTGTATAAATTTTTAAACAACCACCTGATTAATTTTAGTCATTCAAATGCAATAACCAAGAATCCAGAGATCACCAAGTAATCCAAATACACGCAAGCTGTTTCTTTTTGCTCTTTTTTTTTCACTTTCTCTTCCTGGGATTCTACTGTTTAGTTACAAAGTTTCAGTTAAAATGTATCTTTTAGAAGTCTTGTTGAAGTTTTACTATTGATTCCTTTTAATTCCAGGCAGTCTCCTCCCTCTTTCCAGATCCTGCACTTTTATTCTTTTTCTCTTCTTTCCTGCTTATGATTTTTTTTTTAGTGAACCTTGTCTCATTTGGATCAGAAAGGCACAATATGCATACACATACAATTCTATAGACATTTTGGGCAGGGGTTAGAATGCAGTACTACAGGCTAATTGATTCTGACAGGCTCATGGCTGATTCAGACTTTTATCCTTCTGTGGTTGGTAAAATGAGGACCCAGATTGCTGGGGACCATATGCTGACTTTGTAAACTGCTCAGAGAGTGCTGTAAAGCAGTTTGGACTAGTATATAAGTTTAAGTTATATAAGGCATTGCTATTGCTATATAGTTTCTCCCGAGTGTGGATCCTTTTATGAAAAGTAAGACTACGATTCCAAGCAAAGCTCTTTCCACATTCCATGCATTTATATGGCTTCTCTCCTGTGTGGATTTTCTTATGGGAAGTAAGATCATAGCTCCGAGCAAACATCTTTCCGCACTCGATGCATTTATATGGTTTCTCTTCTGTGTGGAGCTTTTTGTGGATAGTAAGAACACTCCTTTGAGTAAATGCCTTTCCACACTGCATGCATTTATATGGCTTCTCCCCTGTGTGGATCATCTTATGGGAAATAAGATGACCTCTTTGAGCAAAGGTCTTTCTACACTCGATGCATTTAAATGGCTTTTCCCCTGTATGGATCATTTTGTGGTTTCTGAGTCCGCTGTTCTGAGCAAAGGTCTTTCCACATTCCATGCATGTATATGGTTTCTCTCCTGTGTGGATCTTTTTGTGAATACTAAGTGTACTGCTGTGAGTAAAGCTTTTCCCACACTCCATGCATTTATATGGCTTTTCTCCTGTGTGTATCTTTTTGTGTGTAGTAAGTGTACTGCTCAGAGCAAAGGTCTTTCCACACTCCATACATTTATATGGTTTCTCTCCTGTGTGGAGCTTTTTGTGGATAGTAAATCCATTGCTATGAGTAAAGGTTTTCCCACACGCCATGCATTTATATGGTTTCTCTCCTGTGTGGATCATCTTATGGGAAATAAGATTACGCTGTTGAACAAAGGTCTTTCCACACTCTGTACATTTATATGGCTTCTCCCCTGTGTGGATCATTTTGTGGTTTCTGAGTCCAGTGCTCTGAGCAAAGGTCTTTCCACACTCCATGCATTTATACAGCTTCTCTCCTCTGTGTATCATCTTGTGGGAAATAAGATTACCTTTTTGAGCAAATGTCTTTCCACACTCAATGCATTTAAATGGTTTTTCCCCTGTGTGGACCATTTTGTGGTTTTTGAGTCCAGTGCTCTGAGCAAAGGTCTTTCCACACTCCATGCATTTAAATGGTTTTTCTCCTGTGTGGATCATTTTGTGGTTTCTGAGTCCACTGCTATGAGCAAAGGTCTTTCCACATTCCATGCATTTATATGGTTTCTCTCCTGAGTGGATCCTTTTATGGGAAATAAGGTTACTACAACTTCTGAACCTGTTACCACACTCTCTGCATGTATATAGCTTCTCCCCAGTGTGAATCTTTTCATGGGAACTAAGTTGCTTACTTGTTCTAAAACATGTTCCACTTTCCAAACATTTATAAGGCTTCTCTTCTGTGTCAATCACTTTTTGAGATGTAAGGAAGTTATTTCCAAGAGAAAGAATGAATGTCCCATTGTAATTTTGTCTGCTGTGTCTTATAGCATCTTCTCCTTTCTTTTGGGTTAAATAGTCTTCACTTACATGTAATTTATCATTGATTAGCTCCACACTTTTCCCAATATATTTTTTCCTTATATTCTCTTGTTGGGCAAGAAAGTCTTGCATCAGAGCATCAGTGGAAGATGAGCTTTCCTGAATCCAAATATTTGACTGGTTTCTCTCATGGCTTTCTAATTCCATTCGAATTCCACATTTCTGCATTTTATATTTCGCATTGATCACTTGGAATGGTTCACAGGAATCTTGATTCCCCTGTCCATTATAACCTTCAAAGCAAAAGAGAAATGAAAATGTTAGCAAGGTTAGAGAAAAAGATCAAACTGTAGAAAAGTGAATTTCCTTCTGAATTAGGTTGCACGTTTGCATGCTTACAGTGGTGTGATATAGACATGATTTTTTAAATCCATGAGTCATGAAAGCTTTGAAAATATCTAGAAAACATCTCTTTCTTTACAATTATTTCTATATATGCAAATCTCACTCAAAGTCAGTTGTGAGTTAAGGAATAATCAGCGCTACGAGACCAACACAACATATGTCACACAGATCACATATGAGACAACATTTTTTGATGCTTCTGGGGGCACAGGGAAAACATTTTTAACTAATTTAATTGTCGCCGAAATCAGGGCTCAGAGAGAAGTTGCTCTTGCCATCATGTCTTCAGGAAGCGAGACATTAATGAAATGAGGGAGGAGACGTTAATGGAAGGAAGGAGACGTTAATGGAAGGAAGACAGCCCATTCCGCAGTTACATTACAGCAACGCCAGGTTGCATATTGCTAGTTTTTTTTAATAAAAAAAACTAATTATAATCTATTTTCTTGAACTCTGATTGGGACTGGAAAACTTACCCAGGGAGATCACAGTCCTATGATTTTCAAGCATGACTTCCGAATGTAGCGCTTTTTGGTCAGAATCCAGCTGAGACCATTCCTCCTCAGAGAAATACACAGCCACCTCCTCAAAGGACACAAGACTCTCCTGAACACAGAAAAAAGAACAGAACAGGAAGATTCGCAAGATCTGTTCATCTTCATCAATGATTTAGATGAGGAGTAAAAGGGGAACTCATCACATTTGCAGACAAGACCAAATTGACAGGAATAACAACACTCCAGAAGATAAGCTCAAGATATGCACAGACATAGAATAGGTGATACCTGACTTAACAGTAGAAAGTGCAACAGTGATCTTGGAGTCCTAGTGGACAATCACTTAAACGTGAGGCAAAAGTGTGCTCAAACAACTCCAAAAAAACCCAACCAGCGCAATCATAGGCTGCATTAAGAGGGGGATAGAATCAAGATCAGATGATGTGTTAGTACCACTTTATAATGCCTTGGTAAGACCACACTTGGAATATTGCATCCAGTTTTGGTTGCCAGATGTAAAAAAGATTTTAAGGTTCTAGAAAGAGTGCAGAGAAGAGGAACAAAAATGATGAGCAGATTGGAGGCTGAAACATATAAAGAACAGTTGCTGGAATTGGGTATGTCTTGTTCGGCTGTCGGCAACCTGTGGCTCAAGAGCTGCATACAGCTCTTTGGGCTCTCTGCTGCGGCTCCCTGTCCCATCACTGGCTGGCCCCATCCTTCACCTTCCGCTCCCTTGCCTGACTTGAGAAGGTAAGGACAATAACAGAGGATGGAGAAGTGGCCTGGGCTGATTTTCCAGCCCTTGTTGGTGCTGGTGGGCGTGCCTCAGTCGCTTGGGGATATGCGCAATCTGCTCTCTGCCTGAGACACTGGCCCGACCTGACCGCAACTGATGCCGGCCTTGCTAACACAAGGGCTGGCATGGTGGGAATGTGATCCAGGAGGATGTGACATCGGAAAGGGGGACAGGCCCGCAGTGCCCAGCCATGGCTCTAAGAAGCTCAGGGCAGCAGGAAAAGGGGTTTGGCCCTGCAAACTTCACCCACCCACCCTGGGGGTAAGGCTTGGAGAAAGCTGGAGCTTGGAGAAAGCTGGAGTGCCCTCGCCAAAGACATTCACACCTTAGCCGGTTCCCCCCTCTCTCTATGTCTCTGTCTGTATGTGTATATCTCTCTTGCACTCTCTCTCTCTCTCTCTCTCTCTCTCTCTCTCTCTCTC